GATGCTGGGATCGTAGCAAGTGGCATTTTTGCAGACTACGACTACGAACAACTAGAAAAAATTATCAAAGTGCTCGTGTGATATTGAAGGGACTTTATCGCATTTTAGTGAGGCAGATCAGTAGGTATTCTACTAGCCAATTTTTCGCCCATCAGTAAGATCTTGTCCGGGGCTACCACATTCCCTTTGTCGGTATCCACTTCCGACGTCCAGTTTATCCGCAATTCGCGTTTAAAGTTTTGTTTGCCAATAGAGGTGCCACAACTTGTTGTTACATATGCCACATGTAACAACTCTATTGAAAATGGATCAAATCCAATGACCCCGTAGCTGTGTTGGTTTTTTAGTTCCCTTTTAGGTTTATTTGTGAACTAAGTCTCAACACATCCCACCCACCCGTTACGTCTGTTCTTTAGCCTTTTCCACAGCAGCCATAGTGCAACATAAAGGAATTAAGCAGTCTATTTGTTAACGTTGTCGAAAAAAAATTAAGGAAGAAACCGAGGAGGAAACGTAAACTTTGGGGTTCTGGAGGCGTCCCATACTAAGACTATCTATCCACTTTTTAATACAGTTCCAAATCAGCAATAATAAATAGAAACATAATTTAAACATCGGAATGATTAAATAAAACGATTTACAAGTTCTGAATCAACCTTAATCCACGACTACTGCAGGTTAAACTTTGCCTTGAATGTACCAACTTTTACTTCATACGATTTCAAGGATCGATTTTTGTTCAAAATCACGTGTTCTCCCAAGTTCAAAAACTGAACATCGTTTGGCTTTAATGGCCACATTAATGAAGGTAGGTATACAATTTTTAATCAAAGGCTACGCCTGTGTGCCAACAATTCCGATCAAGTGTACATGGTGCATTTGTTCTCGTTTTGTGTTGTTTTTTTCCGCTAACTCACATGTTGTGCATCAATATATTAACAGAGACGCGGATTTTTTTTTGGAGTTACAACTCCACCCTAAAAATGAAAGCTTTCCATTGTGACCAAAATGCTCTTCTCATTTTCACCCTTTTTATGCTGTTTGTGCACCAAGTTTCCCGGAATTTCAGTCCGATGAGGAACTAGCGTGCTACATTTATCGATGTTTTCCTTCCTGGTAGTTGATTAAAGGGGAGGAGAGGGAGGGGGTGCTCTTTACAGATAAAAATATAGAGACCGCTTGGAACACATTCAAAATGTACACTATATACTTACTGCAACAAGAATCAAGCCCTTAAATAAATTCTCACAATATTGCATTTTCCTTTTGTAAGTATCTTCCTACTACTCTTCATTTTCGAGGTTCACACTTAAGTATTCACATCGCCGGTAGATACGTGTCGCTCTTTGAGAGTACCCTCCTACTCCCGCTCTTCACATATTTGCACTGAAAGTTTTGACCACCAGTAGATGCGTCTCGTCCAGTCGTTCCACTTACGCTTTATAAGTAGGTATCCTCTTCGACACTTCGTTTTCGAGATATTCGCTCTTAAAGTTTTGACACCATCAATGGATTCGTAGTCGCCGAGGTTGTCGCATGTGTAAGATATGCACGTTTTACTTTCAGACACAGCATTTCGGAAAATAATTCATTGGGAACCCCATAATTTACATTAGAATTTAGAAGGTACAGAAATCTAAATTTGATAAATGTTAAAGCTGCGGAATTAGCGCTAAAGGTGGATGACACTGTGTTAGCGTAGCCGCAGACTAAGTTACAAAATGGATTTGTTTTTTGTATACATTTTACCTTGTAATATGAAAAATTGCTCTCTATTAGAAACTGCAAGACAAACGTTGATATCTACCTCGAGACCTACATCAAGAAGCGGGTCGGCACATTAGGGGTTGTTGCAGATCAGATTTATGATCTTTATCGGGAGCTCAACTGGGGTAAATTAAAGAACCATAATTCTTTTGCGGGTAAAATACTTAGATAAATTGTGCCAATATTTTACAATATTGTTGGCGTATATTTATGGATGCACAACAAAATGCAACTCTATTGCTGAAACGCTATTGCGAACTTCACACCCAGTAATGAACACAAATAGGTACCTACGAGAGAGAGGAACATGATTGACAATGGGGTGGTGGTGTGAAAATAAAAGAAATTAATATGACAATTGGCATATCTTAATATCCATACTTTCTACTTCCCCACAGAAGAGATCTACAAAGGGACATAATGGTGACACTGAAAATAGATGCACCTTGTTCTTGTTGCCAGTGTAAATTAGTTCAAGCATTTTCCAGCTAGGTACATAGAACTTGCGTTTCTCGGAAACCATTGGCGTATTATATTTTAAGCCTCATTAATTGCACTTAAAGCTTGTCTACTGTCGTAATTATATTTAAATTAAGCAACCTTAACCATGGGATTTTCTCGAATTTGCGTATGTTCCTTGACATTCAGTTGCGCCCGGTTGTTGCGTCTACTGAAAATGAAAATCGGGGTATCTTTGCTAGAGCTCATTTTCAATTTCCCATTAAGTTTGCAAGGTGTTCATCACTATTGTCAATTCTTGCGGACGCGCGTTTAAATGTAAAAATGCCTAAATTTGAATGAAAGTTAGTATGGTGTCGAGCTATTAAGCGTATTGAGGACAAAACAGAGCACAGAGCATCATCTGCATTATACGATTTATGCTGAGCACGTCTAAAAATTTGCTGACTATTTCCAGTTATTAAAATTCAGACCCTTTTCATAATAAAGGAGGAAATATCCTAAAAAAGCAACAGTGCGGCATCGTTAAAGTTCAAATGTTTCCAAATTTACTCTTCCAAACTTAGAAAAACTTGTAGTTTTCGATTTTTTTGGGAATAATTACTATTTTCATTTTATGAATTGATCCAACTCTCACAATTTATAGCCTAAACTCTTCTCGAACTTTCACTATTAATTGCAACGCGATTAAAGGGGAAAAAACCGGTAAAACTAAACCAACCAGGTCAAATATCCGTTGTTCAAAAGTACTTACCGTTGTAATTGTCGTATGCAGTTGGTATATATTCATGAGGAAACGTATCATTACTGTAAGAAACTGCCAAAGAAGTTTTTCCAACGGCCTTATCACCGACGAGCACACATTTTATTTTACATTTTTTATTTTCCTTTTCAACTTTTGTTTTTTTCTTTTTAAATAACATCGGAGTCGATTGTTCCTTTAATAAAGGCTGTTTGGTATAATTTAAAGTCGCCTGCGGTGTCATTTCAAAAACTCGTTCACAACTAACGCTCGTATTTGCCCGGCTTAAAAAATTCAAACAATGAAAGGATCAGCTGTTCTATTCGCGATCTGACTGGACGACGAACACCTAACTACTGTAATGGACAGACTCGTACTAAGATGAAAGCAAGGATACGAAAAGAAGATAAGAGAAATCGAGAGTATCTGATATATTACTATTTAAATGCCACGCTTACTGCCGCGACATCTACACTTCAGCAGGGGCAGTTTTGCAGAAATCTGGCATGCTGTATATAGTTGTACAGTATGCCCGGTTCTTGAGGTGATGGTAACTGTTTCTATTCTATTGGTTCGAATCGATTTTTCTCATACCAACTCGAGAAATGCCGCCAAATTTGATTAAGTAATGCATCTCATATATATGGTTATATTCAGTAGTACCTGTGAATTTCTGTAGGTAAATATTAGCGTTATTATTAGAACTTCTTTAAATAAGAAAAGTTACGTTAATTGTTCATTTTAGTCAACTTATTTTATTAGCGACAAGATATAAGTTGACAGTCTTTAAAATAAAAATGTTGCCTACGTTCTCATTTTCTACATAGCAATTCTGTTAAAAAAAATGATGATCTTTACAGAAGAATGTTGTGCTCCACCCTCCACCAGACCACCTTAAAGTAAATTTTAGATTTCTTCTCTCACAATTATTGTTAACCAATGTGCACCTATCTACAACTTGTTTCGTAGAATAAAAAGCTACCAGCCGAAGCTGAATGCAAACTCATATTTTGAGACCAATGCACAAACAAATTGACAACCAAACTGCATATCATTTGTTAATTACGGTACCATGACAGTTAATTTTTCAAGATCTACCACAGAACCCACAGAACTTACTCCGCCATTCGACATTTATTAAGAAATTTTTCCTTTAAGCTAAACTTAAATCCTGCTTACTTTGTTTTCATTTTCGTAATTTTTTGCGTAGTTATTTAATACCTATAGTATACTCGATTTTTATTCACTCCAATAACTTGCTGCACTCGTTATCTCAATATCGCTCGTGTCGCACACGTCAACCTCGTGACTAATAAGCGTCATAACATACTCGTATAATAATATACTATTCAATTCCAGAGATCATGGTGAAATTTTACAATAACCCATCAAACGCCTTTTTTGAGCTCCTTAACTTTTTCTTTTAGAGATTAACTTTCCTGTTTTCTTCTTCTCTTCTTTTTGCTGTTGCACTTGTTTCTCCTACATGTTCAGTGGATTCTTCCACCCCTTCTTACCTTGCATGGCGGCGCTGCAGAATCGAGCCGTGTGAAGGGGTCAATGGTCATGCTACCAGCCGCACGCCTTTGCGTAGCGTAAAAGTCCGCAACAAGTCGCACGTATGAAGCAGGCGTCCATCTCGGCGTCCATATAAAACAATGTTTCGATACCATACTCTGCAACGCTTCAAAAACGTCCTTTGGGTATCCATTTTTCCTTCTCTAACTCGAAATGGGGTGTAATGATAATCCACGTTTAAGAACTTAAAACCTTCCCCATACAATTCAATTGATTCAAAAATTATAATGTTGAAAAATAAGGCTAAGGCGACATGTTTCGGCTAACAAGCCATCATCAGGCCCTAAAAGTTCGGCTTGGTTCTTATAAAATTTGTTAATGCCGAACTTTTAGGGCCAGATGATGTCTTGTTAGCCGAAACATGTCGCCTTAGCCTTATTTTTCAACATTAAATTTTTGAATAAATTGAATTTTATGGGGAAGGTTTTAAGTTCTTAAACGTGAACTTCAAAAACGTGTCGTAAGAAAGGATTTAAAACTCACATATCCAGGTGATGTCCTTGACCATATTTTAGTTACAATTAACAGTCCATGTACTGTATGGTCTAAGGCTGAAATTCATGCCTCACCAAAGAAACGGTGAATAAAAGGCGTGCATCGATAGCAAAAATTCAGTTTACTTCTGTTCCTCATAGAGGAGAAGGCCCTAATACCTATTACTGCCTACTTACTAAACTTCAATATGTTGCCATTCAAAAAGACCACAAAACAATATTTATTCCTTCAGCAATTACATATTAAAACTGCGTTTAGATCCTGAAGATTGAATACCTATGCACCAAAACCGATTTCAGGCCATTTTCATTTCCTTTTGCGAATTCGTATCATGGGCGTCAGCAGAACGTTATCCCTGTTAGCCCTTCACTAGATACGCCCATGATCAGCGTATAATTTTGTTTGACATAACCTCAAAATTGAAAGGTCAATAACCCGTAATGGCGACATAATTGTAAACACTAACCAGTTCAAATTTAAATGGACAATTATCAGGATTACTTTGTGTAAGTTGCATAAATAATTGCTAAAATTCCTTGTTTCTGGGTCAATTAAATGGGTACGAATTCAACTTTCTAATTTGATTACAGGTTATAAAAAGCATCGAGGGGCCTTCAGATTGTGTGCCATAGCATTTTAAAAAATGAGGTGAAAATGAAAAACTATATTTACCATGTAGCATTAACAGTGTGGCGTAAAAAGACATCTATGCTTATAGTGGCTTGTCTACTGGTCTTGTTGATGCTAGGGTTGCAGTTTTCTCAGTCGGAACAGGAGAATGCCAGATTTAAAGATGATAAAGACCAAACGCGCGCAGGAGATTTGGGACAGTTTGCCAATGTGAAGTTCTTGGAGTCTTTGGCAAAGCAAAGAAATGCGGGTAAACTTACGTTCAGTGACTCTTCGAACAAAGAGTCTCGAAAGGGGCTGCCCGAAAACGATAGGTCACAGCAAGAGTTGGAAAAGATGTTGGGTATACCGTTCGTCAACTTAGATGTTAAGAACCCCTATATTCCCAAACAACGTATTATACATCTTGATTTAAAAGGTGCACCTCCGAAAGTCGCTTATTTGAGGAAGATTTTTCCATTACTGAAGACTTTGGGCGCAACCGGGTTACTAATAGGTATACTTTATATCGCTGGCCATTCATTAATCTTGATCCTTGTAGAATATGAAGACATGTTTCCCTACAGTGGCATTCTAAAGGAGGTTAAAGCGGGAAATGCGTATTCTGTTGAGGATATCAATCAACTGCTGACAGCGGCCGAGGAGTCAAAGTTGGAGGTAATTCCTTTGATACAAACATTTGGACATTTGGAATTTGCGCTGAAGCATAATAATTGGAGTAAATTGCGAGAGGTTTCTGATAGTCCTCAAGCGTTGTGTCCCAATCGAAATGGCACTATGGAGTTTATTATGGAGATGTTGAAGCAGGTGAGAAATACCTATGTTTCTGGAGGTTCCTATGGCCCTTTGGGCTATGATTTTTTGAAAAATTAAAAAAATGTTTACTGTGTTTAATGCTTACTGATTATCAAAATAAGTGAATGTGGGCAATTTCGTGAGGGTTCTATGATTATTTGTGTTGATTTTTTTTCAAAAGTGTTTCTTTTCTAGGTGTTTCTTAGTTTCTACTGATTTTCAAACAGATGTTTGAGGTTAAAACAATTTCTTTTCAGGTTACTTGTGTTCTTTATCTTCAAAAATTAAAGGTAAGTATTTCTCTTTGCTGCTATGGCCATTTGCGCTATATTCATTTTCAACAATTTATTAAGATATGTTTCTGGACTGTTTCTACTATCTTTTAAAAAATAGGGTCGTTTCAGAAATAAAAAAAATACTTCTTTAATATTTGTAACGCTTTACTGTTTTAAAAAAAATAAACATTACCACTGTAAACAATTTTTTTATGGTCCTATGATTTTCTTTTGTGCTATATTAAAAAAATTTCCCTGTGTCTTTATGGGTATTTGCGTTACGGTTATTTGTGATTTAATTTAAAAAAAAATTTTTAACTGTAGGTAGGTATCTATTTCGCCCTTGATTTTTTCAACAAGTATTGAACTTACGTATACTGTTAGGCAATTCCTTTGTGGTTCTATGGTTATGTATTTGCGCTACAGTTACTTTCAAAAATTAACAATTTCTTTATGATGTTATTTATGGTATTTTTATTTTCAGAAACGAAAAGAAATTATTTCTTTGTGCTTCAAAGGCTATTTGTGATATGCCCCTTTTTAATAATAAAAAAAAGTTTCAAGGAGAGCAGTTCACCTGTCCTCAACATGTGACATTTCAAGGTGAACCGCTCACCTTGTCCTCAACATGTGACAATCATTTTATTTTTGCTCCACTTCCAATACGAGACTTCTATGTGACAGACCTTAAGCGTCCATAGGTTGGCATAATCTGACTTTTTGCCTGTAATTATGTTTTAATGTAACTGACCACATGTAAACCACATTGACATGGTCTTTCCCTAGTGCGGGCTAGCAGACATTCCCTTCGGCGTCCTAGCTTGGCACCAACGATGTTTAATTTTTAATGATTTTTGTTTTGATAATGGCCTGTTCTTAACCAGACCGAAACATATGTCAGCCAACTGATTCTGCAACATTCGTAATTACTACAGCAGAAATATAAATTAATTGGGGAAGACAGCATCTTGTTTTATTAATATTTCAACCCAATTTGAGAGTACGGAATTCAGAACGTCTTTATAATAGGCTTTGCATTTGGATTTTGCAGGTACCAACTTTTTCTGCTTCTGTAACAAGCCACAGAATGAATGGACGAAGTCATTTTCTTTACAAAGATGGTGATTTTTATAACCAATCGTTAAGTAATATTTTCATGGCAATCATGGAATTACGAATAATCAGCCCAGTTAATTAGAAAAAAACCCATCGTGTCTTGAAACTCGTTGCGCGTGCTTTAAATACTTGATTATACACGTCTTGTTTCTTAATATACTATACTACAAATAAGATGTATGTTATTGTCCATTTTTACATGTAGCATAAACTAGTTCAACAGTATGTCCTAGTTTGAGCAACATCTTCAATTAATATTTACAAATGAGATCCCATTTGTTAAAACGAACTTTTTATACATTTCAATACAATAAAAGTAAACATTTTTTTCTTTTTAAACAAATGCACAATCTTCCTTCGCAATTTGTTTAAAATAAACAGGCACTTATCATTTGAGTGCCAAGCGAAGTTTAGGAACGCTTGCGAGTATCTTGGAAAGTGCTTATTTCAAGGTTCAGGAAAATTGACCAAACTTGGAGCATTTGGAGCTGATAACATTTGCAACGCCCTGAGTATCTTTCAATGCTGGAATATGTGACAAACTGCAAAAAATGATATGGTGGTGCTACTGTTTCTTCTTAGAAGTTGCAGCAATGTCTCAGAACTTTATAAAGTATTTTGTAAATTGTTAAAAACTCAAAAATCGCGAATCGTCGGGCACTTCGGAAAACCGCGCAAACAACCTAAAATGATACTTAATCTTCTTTTTATAGATGCTGGAACTACATCCTAAAATCAGCTACTTGCACATCGGATGCGATGAAGTGTTCCAAATGGGCGAATGCGAGATATGTCGGTTAGAGCTGCACGAGAATCTTTTTCTGAGGCACGTCTCGAATGTGGCGAATCTCGTCCGCAAACATTGGCCACACTTGAGACTGATAATATGGGACGACATGCTTCGTCACCTAAGCCAACAGAGCTTGCAAGATTTCGGGTTGGGGGAACTGGTAGAGCCAATGGTGTGGGTTTACGCTGAGGATATATACAGATTTGTGCAGTCGCCCGTATGGGACAAGTACGCGAGTGTCTTCAAAACCGCATGGACCGCATCAGCCTTCAAAGGTGCTTTCGGTGAAAGTTTATACGTACCTGACGCACGAAGGCATCTCGAAAATAATTTGAGATGGCTGGACGTGATGTCACAGCAAAATCAGCTGTTTAAGCAGGGTCTCTCGGGTATTATTTTGACAGGGTGGCAGAGGTATGATCACTTTGCCATACTTTGTGAGTTATTCCCCGCATCCCTTCCGTCGCTCTCTCTAAATTTGCTAGCAGTTTCCACTGGATACTTTAACTTGTCACTCAAAAATCGTTTACTATCCGCTTTAAGTTGTCCCGAGCACGGATCAGGTCGTCCCACTCCATTTATCGCGTTAGAAGCCGATCCCCATTTATGGGACAAAATGGGCAGGTGCATGTTTCCGGGCAGCCCAGTGTTTAGATTAATGTACCGCTTGCACAATACCGAAAATGAGGTGGTGGAATATTTGAAGGTCACACAGCAGCAGAAAGGTTGGCTAACTGCTTACAATGTAAGACGTAATTATAGCCTTCCTTTGCGCATTGACGAGTTGACCTCAGATTTACCACGAATATATCATAGTTTACTTGCGTTAAATCGAGCCGTCGTCGATAGCATGAATGATATATTTGATCATTATACTATCGGCGAGTGGATAGAGCAGAGAATATATCCTTATATAGTCGAGTTAGAAAAAATACAAAATCAAACTACCATTTTAAAAACTGTTAATTCTTGGCCTTCTAGACCATTACCGCCTTTAAAAGATTTACAGAGATTAGGAGTAACCTTACCCGAGAATTAGTAAGTATTACGTGTTTGAAGTCTGAAATGCTCTCTTTGTTGTTTGTGTGAATCCTTGTTATACATTATTATCGTTTACATCAAGCAAGAGCCAATGGAAATATCAAAATTGCTTATTTAAGTGCGCAGGCAGCTTCCGGTATTAATAACTATAACTTATGTGCCAACTTTTTTGATATTTCTGTGGATTATGTAAAGTATTATATGTGTATTTTCACAACAAAATTTAAAGGCTGATGTGGCTGTTTTTAGTTTTAATTTATTTATTTAGTTACCCTTATAGGGATTGCTCAGAAACCTCCGTAAGATGAGATAATATTATGATCTTGAACACTACTATAGCTTTGTATTTAGATTGTGATGCTTATCCTAGTTTTAGCAATACAATTGTTCCCTTAAATCGGTTTTCGAATTTGTACCCAACTTACTGTATTTTCCATGATTACAGCGAACTTTTGACAAACAAATTGGATTCCTTTCTTTTTTGATATCATAGCCAAAATTCCATTTTCAATACATCCAAAAACCAACCGCATTAACTGTGTGTATTTTTTTGTGATTATTCCTGTGACCCCACGTTGGGCGCCAATTAATACTGCTGGTTGCAATAGAATGCAGTCTAGTACACCACCCACAAAACACCTATCCAGCTAGCCCAAACAAATCAAAATTAAAACATAATTTATCCTTGTACACTTCCTGCATCTGCTACAAAAAATTCCAATATTGACTTAAAATTTCGATCAACTTTCGAAAATTACAAATATTTTATTACAGTAGAAGTATCAACACCTGAAATAAATCTACGCGAGAAGGTAAATCAGACATAAAAACTATCCGGGTCGCACATTGGGTTCGAATAAACAGACAATTAATTGGCAATGACAAAAATTTATTCCAAAACACATGAAATGAAAATTAAACAAAATTTCTGAAATAAAAAGAAGGTTGTTTGGACGAATTACCCCGCACATAGGCGGTCGACAAAAGAAATAAGAAAATCTTACAATTAGTTTTTCTTAATCTGATAATAATCGTAATAATCTGGTCTTTCAACGATTTGCGATAAACAAGACGCACTGTGCCTCTGAACCTCACTTTAATACGCAAACTTGATGGTAAACGAAGTGGCTTGTAGAATAACGATAAAAATTATTATTAAGGGCTGTACGAACGGTGTAACGTTATAACTTTTTAAACAGCAAAAGAACCTCAACAGACTGCCTCACTTAGTGCTGTGGGCTCCATGTTGTGTACTACCATATTTAATAATAATCCTACTTTCAAAACGATTACATATCAAAAGTACAAAATACAGGAATTTTGAGCTCTGAAATCGACTACCTTAATTAATTTTATAGCTTCCGTGACTTGAGGTTTCTGGGCATTCATTGTTGTACAATTGCTTTAAGTGATTACGAAAGATTCAGCGTTACTTCTGTAAACATTTTACGGGTTGGAACATTGCATGGAGCTAAACGAACAAACACTAAGCACTTATGGTTAATTTAGCCATTTCTTTTCCTAAATCTTAAGGTTGTAATAGACAGAAGCAGAGTGTAACGTTTTGCAACCTTATGAATCTTTCTAAAACATTTTTAGCAATACATAAATTTACACAAAATACTCTTCCCAGAAAAAGACAAAAGGACTGATTTTTCTAATACTTTTCTTCTTTTTCTTAAGTATAGTATCCATAGCTACATTATTTTTATGTTAATATTGTCCTATCAGTAATATTATGATGTAAGATAAGTTGTGTGTTAAATTGCAGTTTCTACAATTAGTTGTTACTGTTTTCATGATCTTCCTTCTGAATTGTCCCGCATAATTCTTCCGTAGTTTATATTGATAAGTACAGTACAGTGAGTAAACTTTCACTCGGAACTTACAAATCGCTCATGTTCAATTCTTAAATATACAAGATATGCAACAAATCTTTTCAATTTGTCAATAAACGCAAATATCTGAATTATTTATTAAATTAATAATTATATTCTCTAATTTTTGAGTAAGGTGGGTTGCATAACCGTCATTGACATGTATATTTTGTAATTGAACACTTCTAAGATTGAACATAAGAGTTAATACCTATGTATTCAGGAGATTTGTATGTTCAGAAAAATTTACACACTGTATATTATACTCTTTTGAAAGTGATGATTTTATAGTCATTGCCTTTTGTAAATTACACATAACACTCATCGTTGAGGCTCTGAGTAAATTTCCAGTGTTTTAAGTATTACCAAGTAAATAATACGTTATAGTCTAGTGTTATTTTTAGCCTTGTAAGTATTATTGTACAAGATCTGTGTTAAGATTGGTAGCTACGACTTTATGAAAGAAAAAAATAATAAATTTTAACAAAGAAAATATATAGGTAAATTATAATAATTAGCAATCTGTTTATGTATACTTGACAAAATTCTAATTCATTGCACATTTGTATTTCAACCTCATAGTGAGTAAAGAGTTTTAATAGACATATTGAGTGATTGAAACGTTACAATTTTGTATTAAAATAAACCTAATGACACGCTTCTCTTTTTTATTTCTTCACCTCTACATTTTTCTTAGTTTTAGTAACTTTTCTAATCGGTTTAAATTCTGGAATTAAGTATTTTTAATTTACTTAATTAATAATAATAATTTTATTAGAATACTAATGAGCGTCTCTCTCTCGCTTCCTTTCTTTCTTTCTCTACCTTCTCCTTTTATGTGTTCTGGCACGTGGTTGTGATATTGCAATTAATTGTTGGAAATATGTGCCCACTTCCACGATAAACGGCGGAAATAAATTAAGGTGTCAGTAATTGAAATATTTTTAATTGACATACATTTCCAGTTTAATGACTTTCCTTCCGTCCTTTCGCATGTAAGTTAGATATATGTAACGCTTAAAACTTCTTCTGGGGCATGGTCTGTTGGTGTACCAAATGCTACAATAATGATATGAGATGAGTATGATTTGTTTGATTTCGGTGGCACCGAGCTGGTGTGCCCCAGCACACGTCTAACTTTCGTGCGTAGCGTTGAATTCTTTTGTCTCGTTTTCCGCGCGTATTTATATACGTGACTTTGAATTGGCGCAGCGCCTGCAACACAATATGAAAGGTTCACAGATTTTTAAAGGGGGCATAAAAAACTATCCAAAACGAATTGTTAGATACAGGGTTAGATATAAATAATGTAAATTTATTAGGAAATATTAAAAGAAATTCAATAATAATAACGTCTTTATTAGCATGAACATAAAATAACTACAGTACAAAAAAAGAAACTAAACATCATAATTTAATATCAAATGCACATGCTAAAGGCGCAGTTCACAGGGCGCAATATGCATTCATTGCTTTGTAGGCCCACAGATACCTCTAATCATCAGTAAATGGTTGTTCCTCGATACGTGTTTAATAGACTGTGTCTGATAACAATAAATCGAGCAATAAATATAAGACAAATTATGTATTCGTTGTTACGCGCATCAATCTAATTTAATTATTAAACGAGCGGCGCAGTCGAGGGCGCAGTGCAACAGAAAAGTAAAAATTGTCATTGCAATTTGCAGTCATTTTCAAATTTTTTTTGCTCGGGCGCCAAAACGAACGACAATACTCGAGAAAATAGTTTTACGTTCTGCTTCTAGACCACTGAACGCATTCGCAAACTTGTCCAGTATCCAGAATTTTGACAATAAAGTCAACAACGGCCTTTCAGACTTCAAAAATAGAAGAATGTGTATTATGTACAGGGTGTAAATCGAAAAGTGGAACATAGGCGTTTAACATGGGAAATTACTTTTTCTTTGCGCAAACATTTCCTAATTATTTTACGCAAAAATACTTCAAATAAAAGTTATAGAGATATAAATTCTGCATCTAAATCATGTGAAACGATTATTCTACCTCTTCTTGTACGCGAAAAAATTAATTATAAAGATTCTGTTTTCACGAGTTTTTTGTCTGTAGCCACGGACTATGTTTTTCTTTTATCATAGTCCATGGCTATAGTAGGTAAGATTTTACTTGTGTCCAACCTCTTTCAATTTCAAAGAATAAAATGATTACTACCTGTAAACACTTTTTAAACACAACAAACTCTAGACCCGCCATTCTACTCCAACCGAATCCTGTTAATTGCTCACATTCCCCCCAAATTTCGTTATGAAAAATTCCCTGGTCTACGGCATCTGTTCAGAACGGTCGAATCGAAATAATTTTGATTCAGATTTAAAGGTGTGTTGCCTAACCATAGGGGTAGATTATCACAATATTGTTATGCAAACTACATGGAGGTGCCGTTTCTCTCCAAATTGAAACAATGCCGAAGATGAGAGAGAGGCAGCGAGCCACCTTGTAGAGTAGAAATACGTATTGCTAATGTTCGCCAAAATTATGGAAATGGTAATCGGAAGTCGGAACATCCTGTACATAGTGTATTTCATAGGATCTGGGTATTTTATTTAAAATGGACACAGAATGGGAAAATTTTGTCCTATGGTCATTTTAATGTTAGTTTTTCTTAAAGTAAATTTACTCGGTAATTGTTTGATTTAATTTTGAAGTAATTAATGGAGAAGAATTAATTAGTTTTGCAATGCCACGTAGGAGATAAGCAACGCAGGTGTTGATCAATTCAAGTGACGGAGCGGAGTTTCGAGTAGCGCCTGGGAAAAACGAGGTTGAATATATTAGTGAAAGTCGTTTCACTTTTATAGCTGGAATTAAGTGAATTGATATGTCAGAAATCACTGATACAAGTCCAAAAATTCCAGGGTAGAATACAAGGAAGCTGACATGGGGGGCATGGTAGTGGAAGAGAACTTCTCACCTAATTCAATTAAATTTTTAATTATTTTAATCTATATTTTTATTTCACCAAATAAAAAGATAATATATACAGACATAGTTCAATTTGAACTAGATTTGTTTTTGCACTATGTTCAACAGTATCTACAGTGAACTACAATATCTATTACTTTAATAAGAGCTCACACTTTACCATTAAAGTAAGCAATGCCAGAGAAATGAAAATTTGTCTTGGTAGCAAACCCTAACAGACTCGTGAAATATCCCATACAAAGACCTTAGGAAGTTAGTGTGGTAATCCGGGAACCATCATTACAATTGAATCTCTCTAATCTCATCTTTGCAAACGGACGGATGTGCAGTTAACTGAATTAATTCACTGTGATTGGTTGTTGTATCCAGAATTATGACATGCTGCTGTTTCAAGTCCATGCTAAACTGTTCAGATATTTTTATAGTACCATCAGATCCCAATTCGTTTGTAAATGGAATAAATTGCGTGCTATAAGTCTCCTTGGTCGAATCTGAATGAAGCAAAGGTATGAGCTGTGTGACAGTTGAAATGGTGGCTTGTTCGTCAACAACTTTGTTCCCATCAGGAGTCTGCGCTTGTTGTTTTAAGTGAATTTTGCGGTGTGCTGCCAATTGCCCGGATTGTGAGTAGCACTTATGGCACACTTTGCAAACGTAAGGTTTCTCGCCCGTATGAATTCTGATGTGACCTTTCAAAGTTCGTGCATCACCAAACGCTTTACTGCATATACTACAAATGTGATTTTTTATTCCTAAGTGAGTGCGTTTGTGAGCGGATAGATTACTTGACGTGTGGTAGCGTTTATTACATTGATCACAGCCGTATGGCTTCTCACCTGTGCAAATTTGTCAAAAAAATATCAACAATTGCAATACTAATACCTGTGTGCGATCGCAAATGAATATTTAAATCCGCCGCTCTAGCCACCTTTTTGCTGCAAATGTGACATTCAAATTTCTTTTCCCCTGTGTGTGTCATATTATGTGCAACAAGCGCACATCGACTAATGAAAGCCTTGGGGCAGGATTCGCAACTAAATGGCTTTTCGTGAGTGTGAGTCCTCTTGTGGATTGTCAAGTAGCTGCTTGTTGCATACGAAGCCCCACATATATTGCACTGGTATGGCTTTTCGCCTGTGTGAATGCGAGTGTGCGCAGTCAACACAAAAGAATGAGCAAACCGTTTACCTACAACACTTCAGCTTTGAAAATGAAATAGAATGCATTTGGTTTACAAACCACAAGTTTTACACTCGTATTTACGTTCTCCTGTATGAGTTTTGTTATGTGCAACTAAGCCATGGGGATCAGAAAAACGTTTCCCGCATACGTTACAAACAATTGGCTTTTCACCTGTGTGAATTCTCATGTGCACCTGTAAGTGATTCGGTTCGAAAAATCGGCGACCGCAAGTTGTACAAAGATGTCTCTTTTCGCCACCATGTATCCTCATGTGTTTTGTTAAATTTCCCGGAGCGGTAAATCCTTTGTCACACACTTTGCACACATGCGGCTTATAATCCTTATGTTGCCGTATATGCTCATTCAACTGCTTCATTACTAAAAATGAAAAGGTTTTATCAGGAAAATGGTACCAGACTTTGTGAGGTACGTCGAAATTTTTTTCCACACAGTTCACATTTCAGTTCATGTTTCATGAAATGAATTCGAAGTCCTCTGGAAGACTGAAACGTTCTCCTACACTTTTTACATGCATATTTCGTTTCCTTGTTCTCCTTCAGACCTTTTCCTTCATGCTTTTCTGACCAGTCCTTGTCTAAATTTTCGTCAATAAAAAGTTCGTCATCTGATGAAGGAATAGGAGATGACCAACGATTTCCTTCCTTTCTTTTTCGCCTCGATTTCCTCATTTTCTAAAGAGGATCTGTCTTTGAATCTAACATAAACATAAGAACTTACATAATTGCTCGCCACTACACTTTCAATTTGTCGTTCTTCTTTACTGGGCGCATCAGACTGTGACGGATTCGGATATACAAGAATCTGCCTTAACTTTTGTTCAGATAGCTTACATAATTCGAGAAAGTTGTTCGCATCATTTAGTTTGTCAATACAGCTTCGACATATAAAGTTTGGGAAACCGTCCATTTGCACTAGCTAAATAATAACATCAAAGTGCGTGTGTAAGAAGGTGAAACTGCTTACCTTGGTGTTGATTAAGCTTTCTATTAGGGTGTCGAAGGCATTTTCATATAAGTGACGAAGCTCCGCTGGTGGTTTTTCGTTGAAGCATATTCTACATATACTGTTTACATCTGCGAGAAAGGGAGCAGCATTTTCTTCCGCCATAATTTACAGTGTTATTAATATTTACAGTTCATAATAAGAGGTATATCAATCGCAAAAATAAATGATATAACCTCATTTTTAATTTAATAAATATGGGATCATTGGAACTACCTGTTGGGTACAAATAAACTATTGTCATCTTAGAAGCGGATATACCGGGTGGTGTTTACAGAGGGGCATGTAAAGCTGCGTTCTGACTTAGGACGAACGCAAATGAGGCATCAAGTGTGGACGCTGCACCGAGGCGCAGCCCGTAGCAATATGCTCAAACCATGCACCGAATAACCTCGAACCGATCTAAATGCTGGCGGTTACTCAAAGAATTCGTGCTCATGTATATCCACGAGGTATTCGATGCGGCCTCAGTTTGCCTCATTCGCATTCGTCTTCAAGTCAGTACGCAGCTTAATACCACCGTATAAGCACTGTTTTGAATAAACAATGGTCCTTAAGGTATATTATAATCGCACTGTACCAACAAGTTTGTTTTTATTTTGTACATGGTTTTTATCTATGATATAATGCTTTCTTCCACAATAGTTTCCATGCTGGTCTTGGTTTTCCTCTTCCTTATGCTATTTGTATCTTTGTTTGTTACACGTATTTTCCTGATTCGTTTCGTTTGGATTTCCATGGATTCTAATACTTTCACTCGTCGTAGGTATAAAGTATTTCACAGTCATGACCACATACTTCACTAGGTATCCCTGTTATCAGAAAACATTACCTTGAGATCCAGAAAGGTTCCTAGAGTCGGTAAGCAGCGATTTCAGTACCCAAGTTGAAAATTGACTCTGGACCGGCTCCGATTTGAATACTAGGGGACAGATCTATAGCAGTGTTACTGGCTCCTACACTTCGATGGATCAAACTGCAATGATTGTTTTGATATAAACGTCATCATCGAGTTTTATTTCAACTCGTTAGCCGAACCCATAGCTCGTCTTTTAAATCGTTTGTATTTCTTCAATTAAGTTTGTAGCTAATGGGTAATCCTTTTCAAGCAATTAGGTACACCAAATAATTTTCTTTGGTAATTAATAAGTACCTAGCTTCACTAACCAATTGATGCACGATCGAATTGATTTTGGTGCTGTGTAAATGTGAGCGCGTCTTCTCCTTTAGGGATTGCAACACGTTAATAAGCATCCAAACAGGGAACTTTCTTCTTATGCTCGCTATTTCTTCTTAAAGGTACAGTTAAGATTATTTTATGCTGGGATACTAGTACTCTCATTATCGGCGCCGTCAAGTATGTGATTGAAAAGACATTAAAGAACTAAACGGTCGCATTATACCAAACAAAATAGGGGCCAGAGTGTCCAAAAGAAGAGTTCTGGGGACTCTCCAGCGAACATGGTTACAGTCAGAGCGGGCAAGTGGATGAGCGAGGGGAAATGTATAGAGTGACAGTTAACATGGGGTAAAGGAGAATCATGGACTACTCTACTACCCGGATATGTATCTCAGTGGTAGAGCGTTGGGCTACACCGCCGGAAGGTCGGGTGTTCGAACCTGGGCTGAGGTACGATTTTTTCATTAGCGGCTTAGATCAGTTTCGAGCATTCTGCCGGCTACTCCCAATTAGGTTTTCCTGCAGTTTTCCTAATTGGTAAGGTAAATACCGGAGTAGTATAGAACAACTTAAGACCTGCACCTATAAAAGGCATTTATGCGGGCCATCCTATAACTGGGAACAAGCCAAGCCTGTAGAGGGCTCAAAACAAGAGAGGAAATATAAATAAATAAAAATAATTCCCTCATCCCGGAGACAATGCGGATGGGCCGGGGGCATGGGAATCCGTTTACGCAATTGCTAACGGGCGATGGGGAAAATGGGATGCATCTTCATAAGAGTGGGAAGCGTGAAAATGAAGACTGTGTGGACTACGTGACGACAAGGCACACACATTTTATCAATGCCCCAACGAATCACAGGGAGCGTGAGAAGCTAAACAAGGCCACTTGGTGGAGTAAACACCGCAAAACAGTGGGGCCAACTGAGAGGTTGATGTGCAAGGATAAGAGGACGTGGAATGCAATTGAAAAGTAGTGGTTGTGGGCGTTGTGGCCATCGGGGAAAGAGCTCAAGTGACAGGGTAATTGAAAGGAATCGAGTATCGACTACACAACGGGAAGACGCCATGGGCGATGACTGGTTTGTGGAGTGGAGCGTCATGGGGATTGGGAGAAGGGTTTAGTGGGTGCAATCACCACAATCTCCTTGCACCGGATTTTAACGTCAAGTGGGGGGGGGGGGGCGCGAAAGGCATTTCCCAATTCCCATATAATAAAAAAATAGGCGCGAGGGGGCAAATCTTACGCTGCTTTGGCAAATTCGCCACATTAACGGTTAGTTTTCCAAAGTGCTAGTTACTTACCTGATAGATAACGTACTATATGTGTAACTATCAATGCGATAAATGAAGTTCTCAATTTCTTTATGAGCCCGGACTGAATAATTGTAAATAGTTTCAGCCCGTGTTCATAATTTATTACATATTTACTTACCCCAAAAATTATAACTATCAAATTCAATGCTTCTATAGTTACCTCTATACCTATTCTGGTTAGTAGTTTAGTACCTACCTACCTATTACTTTTGCGTCTCGTACCGCAAAGGAAGTAATTGATCTGCAAAAGATTCAAGTGGAATTGGAGAGATAATTCACACAGATCAACTTAATAAAATTTATTGAAACAAAACATCTTTTAATAACGTATGTACATAATAAATTACATTAACTATGATAATAAATTACATAAACTAATTCATCAACGTTAGACTTATTTAGTAATTCTATACTGGACTAGAATGTTTCTTTTGTCATTAACATAGATCTTATAAGTGGATGGAATTAACTAGCTACTTAAGCAAGTGAATTGCTTATCAAATAAACGACTCTTATTACATAGTTTGATACTGATAAATACGTTAAGTCATCCATTATGCATGTGTTCTTCCGGTTGCTGGAGAAAGTTAGGTGACTATTGCTCTTAAAGAATCACGCGGTCATGACCAAATCTAAGAAAAGTAGTATCTATTTAAGGTTATTGTCGGTAGTCTTAAATCTTACAGTGAACATCTTTACAGTCTTTTTCTTTCTTCGCGATTGTGTATATGTATATATTTGTTACGTAATGCACATAGAGGTTGGAAAGGGTGTTGGGTTGCCATTACTCTTCTATAGGTGAGAAAGGGTCTTTTCGCTGTCATGGATGGAAGGGCCGGGGATCAGAAAGTTGTATATATTAAAGTCAATGGCGATCTACTGAATAGGTATAGAGTAGTGTAAAATACGAGTGGCAATGATACCTAATTGTTTCCAAGGACCAAGACTATTCATAGCTAATTAATCGATTATGTTGCTCGTGTTGCAGACGTACCGAAGTCATTAAACAGTAAAAGCAATTGCCTGCTCAGTCTAGAGTCGTATACATTACGTTAATTTCTAAGATATGTTCAGTGAGACGAACAGAATGGAAAAGCGTAAGGGCTGAATTGTCGACCTTGAACTTTGCGCAATTAAACTAAACTTTTAGCTATGCAACATGAAATGGCAACTCACTGAAACCGCGCCGGAAGTTCGAGGTTAACCGATTTTCCGACCTACGACTTTCATTGTGTACCTACCTACTAACAGAAGCAACAATCGTGAAGACGAGCTCACCCTACAAGGAAAAAGGTGGGCAAATCTGTAATGAACTATGGCGCAACCGAAATGAAAGATGAATGTAAGTTTAATTTATGGTGGAAAGATCAAAGCATAAATCGCGACGATCCGCATTAAATCTGACAAGTTTGTAAAGCTGTAAAGCGGGTCCTAAATTCGTGCAAGAAATAAGGTGGGGTGTAATATGCCAAATATTCTTAATAGGGGTAGATTCGGGTTAAGTAAATCTTTGAGAACATCCGTTTACGTGACATATCGACAACCTTCCATAGATAAATTTGACATCAAAACTTTGGCAATTAAGATTGATCTTTCGTAATATAGTCCACTATATACTGTTTGTCCTACATACAATATGAAAAATATTTACATCATCTCAACTCTCTCGTTTAACTAAAACAGGATAATGTTTCGGTATGGATAGGTACATGAAGAGGAATGGTACAAATAGGAACCTTTGATCCTTATATCTTTTATTGTCCTGACGAGTACTTTTAAAGTTCGTTTCTATAGCAATTTTGAAGTTGGTGCTTCTTCAATTCTTTCAGTATGCCACATTTTATTTAAATGACTGGTGAGCATTTAATTATTTGCCCATTTTTGTTTTTCCACTTCTTACATTGTATATTCAAATTTTATACGTAAATCAACCTGGGGTGAATAATAGACGTCCACAACCTCCGTTCCCCCATAAAAATGAATTATTTATGAATGGAGCAGCACATAGTTATAATAAAAAATATGGATAAACCTTTGGGTGGAACCTAAATCCGATTTTAAAAACGCCAGCAAATGCGGCCAATCCGAAGCCTGGGTAAAGCGTGAAGGAAAGTGAACGATAGTCCATCCTCAGTTCACTTCACAGACAGGACTAAGAAAGTTGATCGAATCATTTTTTTAATATTAACCAATCAAATTTCTTCATTCATTCAATTAACCGAACTGAGGTTAAACTATCGTGGCCCAAGTGGCTCAATAAAAAGAATTTGTATTTCTTTGTCCGTACCCATAATTTTGAACAAATAAAACGAGGTGTTACTGACTTGCCTCTGACGGCCTCTTCCTTAAAACACTTTCTTTACTAATTGAGAAGAAGGTTGACAGTAACGACTTTGTTAGGTCTTTTGGTAAATCCCATACCTAACGTTCTTACTGTAAGATTATGCCTACTGCATATAAATAATTACTACAAAATTTGTTAGCTACCTGGAATAGTTTAGTTTGTTTTAATTTGTCAAAAAAATCATTATATAAAATAAACACGTTCAATTTGCCTTGATCAATTTAATAATTAAAAGGAGCTTAGTTCAATCGTTTGCAACGTATTTGCGCAAAAAGATGATAAAATCAACATGGAAAAAAATCCTAAATTAGGAATTCCGAATACATTCTTCTTGACTAGACAAGGACACTGGTCAAAATTTCACGAAATTTGTCAGTTGAAGTTTTTATTTAAATTGTTGTTGATATTCTTGGCAATACTCACCCCCGTTTAGGGGTTTGCAATCTTGGAGAAAAATTAAAAAAAAACTTATTCGGAAAGATAGATCCTATCCAAAACGTAGGTCACCTAAACTATGTTATGGTTGCAGTTCTTTTGTTTATTATCCAAACAATGAAAAGGGTACCTTTGGTTGATTTTTAGCGTCATTTTCAATTTGTCTTGCGTAAATTCTGTCTGTCAAATTCTATCATTTGTGTTTTTATGTTATTCGCATCTTGTAAATGCTGTCGGGTTCATAAAGCCTTTTAGTTTACGGATTGCTTGTATATGCTTGTCTTTTTTGTACGAGCTACAGGTTTTAAACCACAAACATTTGAAAAATGATATATACCCGAACTACATACTAATATCATTGAATAATTTTTATTCAATGCTAATATAAAACAAAACGTCAATTAAAAAATATACTGAGAAATAAAATCTGATTGAAAGGAAATAAAAAATATCATCAACATCGCTGCTGAAACGCAGAGAGGAAGGATCCAGGAACAGAATAGGAATGCATGGCGAAACGTAGAGCAATAGTAGAAGAAATAGCAGGCGCCAGAAAGAAACCACTTAAAAAAATGAGTGTGGAAAGTAACAAGAAGTAGATACTATATAATGAAGCGAAATCACTAAAATAATAAGACGTGCAAAGCAAGAGTGGATCTAAGGTGGAAAAAATTAAAGCTGGAAACAAAAACTACAACTCAAAGTTTTATCAAAAAATAACAAAAAAAAATTTGGGGGTGACTGAAGTATGGGACCAAAAAATATTTTCTTTTCAAATAAAATGAGGGTCGCAAATACTTCGCTTGTAAGCACCTTTGCACAACCGTGATTTTCGACCGTACTTACCCTATAAGGTAAGAGCAATACTAGTCATCCAGGTATACATGCCGACAAGTGATCATGACGATGAAGAAATAGAAAAACAGTACGAAAAAATTAGTAAGGAAGCACAAGGATCCTGTTAGATTGGTACGGGCGATTGAAATACCAGTGCGGGACAGAGGGCGGTTGGGGGAGCAGTTGGAAAATACGGACGGAGAAAGGAATGAAAAAAGAGATTAGCTCAATGAATTTTACAAAGAAGTTGGTAGCACTTTTAAGTAAAGTTATCACAAATGTCTTGTAAATTCAAAAATCTAATAAAAAGTAGGGTATTCCATTTAAAAGAATTAAGTTGGGTAGCGCCACCTGGCGGTTAGGCATTTAATTAAACAAAATTTTATCAAAAACTATATGGCCCTGGCTTATGTTTATAAAAAGGTATGAGACTACGATTGAACGGAGAGTATCTGTAAAATGCACTAATATTAGCGTTATGTCCTCAGTTTTGCTCGTGCGTCCAGGCTGGATTTTACTCTCGTTAAAAAACAAGATTAGTAACGAATTTGAAGAAGCACCAAGTCAATCGAATTTGTTTTGCGCGCTGCTTGATTTCTGCAAACAATAGCAAACCTTATCAGTTATCACACAAATTTTGCTACTGAACACCATTATCTACAGCTGCATTAATTTACTTAGGCACGATCACATGACACTCACATACAAAAAAAGGATATGAAAAATTACACGTAACTTTCTCCGTTTATAATCTTTTTAACAGAATTATTTAAACTATTATTAGGTTGTAAAGGAATTCGTACATAACTATCCTTCGAGTTTTTGTTATTATTTTTCGAACACTCGGGATCGGTAAGCGTATCTTTGGCATCTTTCGAACTGGTAGAGTTCCTCGAGTAGTTCTTATGACTATATCGGCTCCAAAACGAATCGGATGTGTGCTGTGATGATGTTTGCGTTGAGGACGTAGTATTGAAAGTGTTTTTCCTATTGATGTCGGTTCGATTTATGTATCTTTTGCTAAAAATACGTATTCCGCACAGCCTAAAGAATCCGTTTCGAAATTTCGAGCTCATCAAGTTGTATAATATGGGATTAATTGCCGAATTTATATGGAACATGATTCTGGAGAAGTATAGTAGGTTGTAGTAGCCTTCAATGCCGATGTTCATTATAGATTCGGCGGGTACAACAATTATCCATAATGTTAACGCTCTAAATGGTAATAGACAGATAAAGAATGCTAAAACGACGGTACCTAACATAATAATTACTTGCTTACGATACTTTATGGCACTTTGTGATCCCAGTGCGTTGTTTTTACATGGTGCCATTACGTTTGGGTGGTCGATTAAGGTTTTGGCGATGAGGGCGTACAGAATTAATAATATTGCTAGAGGTAGAAAGAAGAATACAGATATGGAAAGGATGAAGAATAGGGACGGTAGCAACGTTTCCACTTTGCTGAAGCATACCGATACCACTGTGCCATCGTAGTACGTTTCCAATCCATACTGGGTGATTGCTAGGATGGGGCTGAAAATATAAGAAAAGCGGCATTAATATATCTTCAGTGTAATTATAAAGGGGTTGATTTATATTTTGAAAGGGATGACTACTTTCTACATATTTACTTCTAAGTGCAAATTTATTACAAGGCAACAAACATGATAAATAACATGACGGGAAAAATATTGAATGTAAAACTACTTACGTGCGCTGTAATCTGTAAAATATTGTTAAATGCAGAGTGCAATAAAGATGAAGTGGAATGTAACGGAAAAGGTGTTTATGTAAGGATTAACTTTTTTGCAAGAGACCTGTTGCGAAATAAAAGAGATTTATGTCAACATTTAACATGAATTTATTGACTATTCTATTTTAAGAAAAATTCTTTGGTGAACATAGTAACTGCATCGCAAATGCATTTCGAAAAACCTTATATTCTTAAACATCGTAAATACTAAAAGCTATTAAACAATTTCACGTAAAGAAACAACTTTACTTTCGATTAAAAAAAACTTGCTAATGCGCGTGTAAAGAGGTAGTTTGGAAATTTCAATGCCCATTAATTCGGTACCTTTTCACCATTCATTTGCATGCGAAAATTTTTCTGCAAAACACGCTCACAAATTACATTCTCGACTAAATTTCAGGTATTTGGTTACAAGATTCGTATCAGAATAAACTTTAATGAAACAGTTCCATGTAAATTAATAATTTTAGTGTCTCAATCGCATTTTCCCAATTTAATTAAGTTGTTCCAAGAATTGAGACTAATTTCAAATATAAGCGAAGAGGATAGGTACTATTTTTCGTCCCTTTTTAATTCACTGAATATATCGCATTAGGTAATTTTTTATAAACCCATCAGTTAATTTGTGTATGTTTATGACGTCCAGTCAATAGAGCTGCTAGAAGTTTGAACACGCGCAAGTAAATGCAGCAAAGTGACGAAAAGTGAATGTAAAGACAACGTTTGCTGTAAATTAGTGCCTGAAAGTACACCAGAATGGAAAGGCAGCGCTTATACCTATGCAGTGCTGGTGCGCGCTAGAAATAAAAGGATATGCTTTCATTGTAGTGCTTTGCGTAAGTGCTTTCATTTTCCGTCATTTTTAAATCATTTCCGTTGCCAAATTAAATATTTCTTACCAAGAAACACTTCAATCTCTATTATACTTGGGTAACACCATTTGTAATTAAAAATGGTTACTGTATATGTACCCTTCTGTGGAAATTTTACCATTTTCAGGAGACTGTTCCCTTGAGTTCCTTTAGTTACCAAGAGAACATTAGTTATTTTTTAATGCTAATACGTGATACTTCAGCGTCGTAGCACGTTTTCCAGTATAACCAGCATAAGTGATAAAACATCAAATGGCGCCCGTTTTAACCGACAGGTTTGGTAGGGGTTCAAATAGTCATAGGGATGTGCCACAGAAAATTCGCCCTCTTTAGAACCATGTGCATTTCGCCTTCCAAGTTATCGTCTATAGAACGGTCGCCCCCCCTGTCTAGCAGACGGTCAAAGTTCAGGCCCGTAGCCAGAATGAAGTAGCAGGGGTGGCCGATATTTTTCTAGGTGGTGGTGGGGCTTAAGGGGTTTTTGATAGATTTCCCCTGTAATTTTTGTAAAAGAACCATCAACCGTAATTTACAATGGAGGCAACGACCACGTTCTAGATGTGAGTCAGCCCCACCTGGCCACCCCCTGGCTACGGGCCTGGGTGAAACGAAAGATATTTGGGGCGCAAACGATCACAAGAGAAAAGAAAACGTAAAATTGGAAAAATGGAGGGACAGTATGGAATTTTGTATGTGAAATAACTGAAAAACGGGGCGCGCAAACTGAGGTATCGGGGTGCAAACATGCTCAATCCAAGCGTAATCGGTCGCTCTGTGAAAAAATATAGGTTTGTAAAATTGGGGAGCAGTTCAGAATTCCCCCTTTTGTCTTCACTGGAATATGTGCTTCCTACAACCACAGATCTACACATACACAGATTGCTAACCTTATGCATTTTTTGGGAAACAAATTTAGGTATACTTAAAAGCGCCCTCTATGGCGGAGCAGTATAGACATGTAACGTTTAAAACTGTAATATGACGCTTATGGATTTATGCGTTAGATGTCGTTGAAACAAAATTAATTAAACAATAACACACTGAAACATCTAGTCCGAAACAAATCACAAAATAAATTCACCGATTACAAATATCAAATGCTAAAAATAACGAGTAACGAATTCGAATTATGCACACTTTACCGCTTCAAATTTTTTGCAGCGACATCTAATGCATAAATCCATAAGCGTCATATTACAGTTTTAAACGGTACATGTTTATACTGCTCCGCAATAGAGGGCGCTTTTAAGTATACCTAAATTTGTTTCCCAAAAAATGCATAAGGTTAGCAATCTGTGTATGTGTAGATCTGTGCTACAACCTTGGTAAATAACTGTTACGTACTCAATCCTAATCAGATGAATTTTCTTTGGACGTCAGTTTCTCAGAGAGGCAAATTCACTTGGGGGGTTAGCTTTATAAGGGAATGTAACGGAGGCGTGTGATTTACTAGAGCCAATGAACATGCATTAAACTTTCTTGCGGCAACGAATTGTTCCTAGCCTAGGTCGAACTTTACGGTGTCAACTATTTTGAGGAGGAATATTCTGACGGAACCGGAATGGTCTTCCTTGTCGATGAATATTTAAGGATGAGTCGCGCAAAACTGGAAACATGGAAATTGTCTAGACAGCAAAAAAAAAAAAGAAAGAGCAAGATGTAATGTATGTTTGGAGGTTGTCTGTTTCAACATATTTAATGATGAATGATGACACTTAAAATGTAGGAAACGCACCACTCGACAACTTATGGAAGTAAGTGAGAGAAAAATCATCATAGCACATTCGCTTACGGAAATTCAGTATTCGTCTTCAAGAACATTTTTTTTTCAAAAAACCTAGTTCCATAAAAAATTCCCATTGAAAAAAAGCGCTAAATAAAAATTATCTCCGATAAAATCCCTTGGGAAATTTACTTATGAGAGCTCCATTTGCTGTCTTTCTGAAATATTTACCTCCTCCTCTCGCTTCGAAATTGCACCAAGCAAAATTCACGTGCACGAAAATCCGATCCTGGGAAATAAATCTCAAGGAAACTTTCCAATGTGACAGAGAAATGCCGCATTGGATTTGCTTGTGTGCGATTAATTAGCGACCGGATATCTCGCTCGCGGATAATTCGCATCCGAATTTGTTCCATTTCTCCCTTACCTCCTGACATTACAAGCTCTCGTTTGACTCCTATACGGCTTATATTTTTCAATTTTAATTGAAAAACATCAAAAATCTATAATTTCTTTAATTCTTAAAGAACGCGTTGAAACTTGAGGAGTTATATGTATAGGAATAATTTGGATGTTAATTTTCCGAGGGCGGCTTTTTCGGGTGCGATATGTGTCACACGTTGAAAAACGAATAGCTTTTATTTGAACCATTTTTCCATAAAGTGGAAACACTTTATAAAATAGGCGCTTACGAATGCACATATATTTTAAAAGCTTGCAAGGAACGAAACGCCTAGGTACACATTGTCTGGGCTGGGTGCAAAATGTCGGGGTGAGAATTACTCGGGCGCAATTTATCCTACAAGGGTATATTCGCAGTGAATCTTCTTTAAGTGCCGATTTGCCTGAGAGACCCAACGCAGTTCTTTTTTAGAAGTTCGTGGAAAACGTACGATATAATTGTCTTTAACAATTTGCAAGAAAATTCCAAGAAAGAACAGCGGTTCATTTTTTGAAACGTACCAATTGGGGTACAAAGTTATGTACAATAAATATTAGCAACGATTTGTAATAATTTTCAGTGTAGTGTCAAATCGGAATTTATAATAGTAATTAAGGTTCGTAGAAAAAACTTGACTTTAGCTTCCTTGGGGTCATAGAATAATGTGTATTAATTAATAATCTGCATTTAATTATACAGGGTAAGTATACAGTTCCGGAGCATTCGATTATCCCCGTTATTTATAAAGCAACTTTTTAAATAATTATTGGTGTGTTTATATAACAAATATTAATGCATTTAATCATTGTAATGTCTATCGACTTCCGGTTTTCAAAGGCATACGATTCCCTACAAGTGTTTTTTATTTTATGTCTTTATCATTTTTCGAATGAAACAAAAACCCTAGTATGTTATAACATTTCTTATGTGGTTTTTGTTCTGCGTTCGGTAAGAATAGGGTGTTAGAAACAAAAAGTTAAAGTCATTTTCGGCTAAACAGGAAGTTGAAAAAATGAGATATTACGATTATAAAATGCATTAATATTTGATTTACATGGCTGCGATTTAATAAAGGATACATTCAATAAAACATAAATGGAGGCGTGTTCGGAAATACGCTTGGACCCGTCAATATTATTTTTGGATTGCGCATATTTCGATACAAAATGTAGGCATACAAGGTGCCCTAAAACAAACGTGACAGAAAAACTATTTTTTCCTTAAATAGAAATTGACGAATAATATTCGGATTCTCCAGAAAATTCTATATATGTTTCGTGTAATTATCCTATACCTATCTGTACACGGAATATTTACGTGACGTAACTGCAGAGCTGTTAATGGGGGACATTTCCAAGATAAGTTAAAATAATGACACTTCTAATGTCTAGAATTTTCTGGAGAATCCGAAAATCATAATCTCCCTAATTTCTATTTAAGGAAAACATATTTTTTCTGTCACGCTTTAAATAAAAATAATAAAAATAATTTATTTGTGTTAATACATTGAATCAATGCTTACACTCGTCCGAAAATGGTATAAAACATAAACATAAAATACATTAAACATATAGAATAATATTACATAAATAATATGGAAATTCACTAAAAATATAAAACATAAACATAAAATACATTAAACATATAGAATAATATTACATAAATAATATGGAAATTCACTAAAAAACAAATAATTAAAAAATACAAACAACAAAAAATAATTTAAAGAGTTAAGGTCTTGAG